ACCCTGGGCCCAATGCAAAGTAATGAAGTCATTCAGTGGCATGAAAAAAGGAAGAAGGAAGATAAGGCCATAGCAGTGTCTGTGGGTGCTTTAAAGATTCTGCAAGTGCTTAAAGATAGGAAGCCTTCATCATCATTGAGGTTAAAAAGTAACAGGGGGTGCCTAAGGGCCATGGCCTGGCATTAATACCTTATTCTTCTTACAAACCACCCCCAAACTTCTATGCTGCTCTTTTAAAAAGGAATCTCTCCCCTTTTTAAAAAAATTTCTTTTTCTATTCAATGTTTCTAATGATAATAGTGTTGATGAAGTGTTTCTTCTCTGAAATGTTACAATCAGACACAGGTCACATTATTACCCAAGTGACAGACCTATGACAATCCTCTGGGGATTTCTGGTTCTGTCTATTTCTTCAGGAATTAGTTCCAGACAGGGCAGCAGACACTGGCTGGTGACCAAATGTGTTTACTTTTCTTCTGAGCTCACAGCTACATTTCTCTCCTTCCCGTGCTTTTAGGTGTGAAAATGTCACTTGACTCTTGCCAAAGAGATGTGGTCAGAAGTGATATAAACCACAAAATGTTTAACTTCCTCTGATCCTCCATTCTCCTTCCTTATTTATGTTACCTGATGGCTGTATGTCTATGCCCCGGGGAACCTTAGAACACACACGTGAGAAAGAGAGCAGACACTCCAGGAGTCTGGGTCCCTGCAAGAAGTATTGCCCCTCGCCATGTATAAGGAATAAATTTCCATTGTGGGAAGCCACTAACATGTCAGGAGGTGTCTGTTATAACAGCAAACATTATTCTAAAACAGATGGCATCCAGAAATAGGCCCCAAGACAAAATAACTTTGCAAAGAAAAATATTGTCAATATTTTGTGTCTATTTTCTCCTCTTCTTTTTTTTAAATGTAGCATTCTAAAGTATTTCATTTTGTAGTTCTTTACCCATTATCTTTGCCCCATCAGAAATTCAAAAGTTCTGCTTAATCTGGCACAAAATCTACATAAGCAACATCAGAGGAAACATTAAAGCCAATTGCCTGAACACAGCTCCCTCTTCAAATGTGGTTGCTTGAACCACTCAAAACAGAAGGCATGAAAAGGCACTGGGGAACCTATTCTATGTGAGAAGTAATAACTATATCCTCTTTTTCTACCTTTCGTTCCAAGAGACAAACTGGGGTGCAGGGTCCCAAAATGAACTACTTCTCTGTGACAGCCTAAGGCCATTCTGCTATAACTCTGGCCCCAAACAGCCTTTAAACACAAGTTAATTCTCCAGGTTTGTCTCGTTAGTTTCTTTGGTTTGTTATGGTAACTACATCTGACTTTACCTAGCCATCCTGGTATTTGGTAGCAAAATTGCTTACTACAAAATTGTTCACTCCATCAATAATAATACCCCATTATTAAGAAAAAGTAATAGCTGCCACACATTCAAAAGCACATTTTTTGAGCCAAAATAGAAATTAAAATGTTTTAATAAGTGAAGCAACTAAAGTAAAATTGGCTGGAAAAACTCCATGATAATTTTAAATTCTGTTTTCTTTTTTGTGTGTATGATAATTTCTTCTTTTTTTTTTTTTTTGAAAAATACATGTCTATTTATTTTAAAGAGGAAAGAAGAGGGAGAGAGATAGAAAGATCAAGAAGAGCGAGAAGCATTGATCGGCTGCCTCCTGCACACTCCCTACTGGGTATCAAGCCTAAAACCGGGCCATGTGCCCTGACCAGGAATTAAATTGTGACCTCTCAGTTCATAGGTCAATGCTCAATCACTGAGCTACACCAGCTGGGCTATGTTCTGTTTTCTTGACTGAAGAGCCAAAGCTCACACCCCCATACCATTTACTTCATTACATGAGAATTAGATGACTGATACGTTTGTCTTGAGTAACTGGCAGAATGAAAGAGCACATACAAGATGTAAGATCTACTGACAACTAAGAAAAGCTTAAAATGAACCATAAATGGTAGGAAAAGGTACAAAAAGATATCTGTAAAGAAAGTGATAGAGTCGGGACCAGTTTGGCTCAATGGATAGAGGGACTGAAGGGTCCCAGGTTCGATTTCGGACAAGGACATGTACCTTGGTTGCGGGCATATCCCCAGTAGGGGATGTGCAAGAGGCAGCTGATCGATGACTCTCTCATCGATGTTTCTATTATAACTCTCTATCTCTCTCCCTTCCTCTCTGTACAAAATCAATAAAAATATATATTTTTTTAAAAAGTGATAGAACTTAAACCTTATGTGCCATAAAAATCTTGTTGAAATCTAGGTGGAGATAAGCTTTGAAGATAAATAGGCCTGGATTCAAATTCTGGTTCTTCCACCTGCTAAATGTGAGCCCATAGGCAAATTGCTTAACTTACCCAACCCTCAGTTTTCTCCTGTGCAGAATGGGTGCAATCCCTGAGCTGGTATGAAAATTGGGGTGTAAAGTGACACGTGGTAAATAATTTCTATAAGTTATAGTTATTAGTATACCTGGAAAATGTTTACTATAGACTTAAAAATCATATTGTTTTTTCATTATGAAGTAAAGATAGCAGAGTTTCTCTTGTAAAGTTCCACAGGGATCTCTTTTCCTAATGCATCTACCACATTGGCAGAAATAGCATTGTTAAGTTTACCTTGGCTAAATATGCTTCATTCATCTGTCAATAAGATTCTGGGCTTCCAATCCAGGTGGCGATTGTTGAAGCTGGATGGAGCAGAACAGGCTACACAACCGTGTCATATTCACCTCAGAGGTTTATGCTACCAACAATAACATCATATCTCTGTCAATCAAGCACAATTACAGGGCTTGATAAACTGATACAAATAAAAAAAAAACACACACCTAAAACAGGTCTCCTGACTCTTCTGGCTGCAGGTACAGGACTTGCTTGATTCTGTTACCTGCAAATATTAGAGTGGCTCCTTTGTAGACAAGGGAAAAAAAAATCTTCCTATCCATTGACTCTAAAAAAGGTCAAAACTAGTGAAATGTTGCTACATTTGAAAACCCTGGAGTCATTTTGTAAATTTAAACATATTCTTTGCTTCTTATTGAAACATGAGTCTATTTTACCCAAACTAGAGGGGTACCATTTCATATCCTTTGGAATCAGGTAACACAATGGTTAGGCAAATCATTTCAGCAACTACATTTGTGATATCCAAGCTAGGTGCTCAAAGCACTTGCATAAATTCCTTTAGAAAAAATATGTCAATACATGTTATCTTTATGAGAAAGAAAACAAGAAAAAGTACCTGATAGTAACATCTATGCTAATAAAATAGAAACATGTAAATTGATCATCACTTCGCTATGCCCACCAGCCAATCAGGACTGAGTATGCAAAGTAACTCAACAAATATGGCAGCATCCCCACCCCCCAGCCGCTCTGGGCCTCTGGGCAGCACACATGCAGGCACTGAGTGGCCAGGCGGGGCTGGGCACCTGCTATGAGGGGTGGAGGGGGCCAAGGATAGAAGCATTTCAAATTAGACTTATCCTGTTGAATTGCAGTTTTGCAAACCCTCTGTGGCTGTGTAGTTTTGACCCTCAATTTCCTCATTAAACAATGAGATTGGCAACAGCCAAGGGTGGTTGTGAGACAAAATGAAATCATGTAATGCCTAGAATATGGCCTGCTATCTAGTAGAGGGTTAAAATGTGTTATTTATCAGTTTTTTATATAATAAAAGGAAGAAAAATTGAAATCTGTAGATAAAGAACCTGGACTGATATCCCTAAGAAAGCAAGAAATATGTGTCTGCCAAAATTGTGAAGGGCCAAAGAGGAAATAGTAGAATCCTGAAAATCATCATTAAGGCAGAAATGAGCTTTAACTACCTCTTGGCCTGCCTAATGCTTCCATCCACAAACAGAAACCTTGAACACTCTATTCTGGCTGGAATCCCCACAGCTTCCTCTGGGCAGTAGTGGTTTGTTTCTAGTTTTAAAGACAGAGGCTTCAGAAAGAAGCCAAAGAATCAAGCTCCAAGGCCCGGGGCATGCCATCTGCCTAGCATTAAGCAAGAACCGAAAGTCAGTTACAGAAGCACAGTCATTTCCAACATGATTTATGTTCCATCCTTGAATGTGGCAGGAAGACTGCAAAAGATATTTGGAAGCCAATGCTTCCTCCGAATAAAGTAAACGGGTAGATGCTAAGCCCCTCTTCCCGACCATGCTGGCCTGTTAGATAGGTTGCCAAGGTGGAGTCCGTGAACCCTGGAGCACAGTGGCTGCTCGGGGATGAGAAAATAGCTGGAGGCCAACGATCATCGCTACCGACCAGCGCGCAGTACAAACACTGAGGTCAGACAGCAGATAGCCAGGATATTACTCAAAAACACATCTAGCTCAAAGCTGACAAGATAATCTGTTCCTGTGGGTGCAAAGCAGACTGGAATGCTGGCGCGATGACCTACTCAAGGAAAGAAAAAAGAAAGTGCAACTCTCCAAGGGCTCCATATCATGCTTTCCGCGCAGGCAGAAGTCCAGCGGACTTCAAAAGGAGGGACACCTCGGGGGGAGCCCTGGACCAAGCCCACAGGGGGTATCGTTTCCGCGATCAGGTTGCCATCTACATTTGGTGGACTGGCAAACGCAAATACTTCAAGACACAAGTTTCAACAGATGCAAAAAAAGAAGTGTGAAGGAGCTCGGAGATTTGCTTGCAGAAAAAGTCCAAATTCCAGGGAAAGCATTTGCTATCAGGAACTTCATAAGTTATTGCAACAGTCCCAAGAGAGCCATTGTTTATGACGGCATTAAGATGAAACGTCTCTCTAGCTGACACAGATGGCACTCCAACATATCACACGATCACAAAACAGTGCACTTCAAAAAGTAACTTCCCAAAGTTAAGCAGTCTTAACCAGTCAGTAACACTTTCCTCATTGAAATATAGATGATATGTTGAGGTTTTTAACCAGGCTTTAACATACGTGATCCTGATTAATGTAGAAGAGCCAAAATGCAGCAGATACTTACAGGAAGACCTATATGGTGGGAGGAGGGAGTAAGAAAGAAAAAAAGGAAGAGACAAATTAGTGAATATGCAAAATATTAAGATTAAAGCATCATCATAATCATCAGCACAATACAAGGGGCAAAGAAGTCAGGGATTCTTAATCTTTTTTTCAGAACATAACCCTTTGACACTGTATCAGCAAACTACATTTATGTCTATGTGCATACAAAACTTACCATAAAATTTCAAGGAATGTTCAGATTCCCGGAGGCTTGTCTTTGAATTACTGAGACATTTATATATTTTAAGCAAAGTATGTCTAATTTATATACCTAAAAATTTAGATAAAATATGAATCATGAGGATTTTTTGTCATTTATAATAGGCCAATTATAGAGAACTGATATGTAAACTTTCTTGAGCTTTTTAAAATGGCTAAATTACAAATGTATTTATTATTTGTTCTAAGAATATTTTTCATTCAATAGTATTGTCAATATATAAAAGAATAAGCTTTGACATTTATGTGTTTCTTTAAAACTATGCTTTCTCATCAAAACACCAGCAAATTCTAAGAAAATTTCAACAGTTCACACACCATAGGTTCAATTAAAACACCAATTCGAAGTAGCCAGAAAGTTGGGAATTAACTTTTACATTTTCTATAAAACTCTGCTTACACACAAAGTTTTCACTTTCCTCCCCTCAATCCTCTTTCTCTTGACACAAAGATCAATTCAGTGACTATTTGAGTCCACCAATGTTTTATCATTTCTTTTTTCTCAAAGCATCCACTATTATGCAACTGCACTTTTCATAGGAAATACCTATTCAAATTACCAATCATTTAGATTTAGTGAGGTTTAAAGGCAACTTTTGAGAATACTCTTAAAGTAATTAAGCAGCCACACTACCCAAATTCTTGAATTTTCATAAACCCTTTCTACTTTGACATCTTTTTTTTCCAAAAAGAAGAAGAAATGAGACAAGATAAAATCAATCTGCACTCTGCTTTTTTTGATAGGTTAGTATTCATACTGTTTGACCCTTAGTAATGTTTGTTTTTAATACTGAAAATTACTTATTGAGAATAATATTTCTTATCACACACCAGAATCAAAATTTAAATCGCCTTCCTCTTATCTTGCAAATAAGAACCAGTGACCTCATATGGTCATTTACATTTTTGGAGTCTTAGACTTTATATACAAGTAAAGCAGTAAGTAAACTCACTCACTTGGATATTTGGTTTTTTTAAAAAATAGTTTTTATTTCACTCTTCTGTTTCATTTTGCATATAAGGATTTGACCTGGAAGCAAAAACTCACTAAAGTGGCTTCAGGACAATTGGTTGTGTTTCAAGTTCTGCTCAAAAACTACATGGCCTTGGCCAAATCACCTGACTACTGTGGACCTCCGTTTCCTCAAATACAAAATAAAAATGCTGGATTGATTGCTAAGACTCCTGTCACCACTAAAATTCTATGGTTATACAAGAGAAATAAAAATTCCCAAATTTTGAAGTGAATGAGAGTAAAAGCATGACAAAATTGTACCAGTTGGACAAAATAATAATAAAGCATTCCTAGACATGTGCCCTGGTGTCCTAAAGCAGATGTTTTCACAGAGAACCTGTATGTGTGGAACAACCACCTATGAAAATGGAAGCATGGGTGATGTTGCCACACTGTGTGCAGCTAAGAAACCCTCAGGGTACACTGAAAGGATGGACTTGACGCAATAAAGAAGACAAAATTGAGGGCCAGTGGTTAGTAATAATATTTGGCAAACTTTTCCTTTGATGGCAATAAGAAAATAAAATATATTCTAGGTATGATAGAGACTTAAACACACACACACACACACACACACACACACACACACACACACACACACCATACAATAATTAATTAGGAGGAACAGAGTCAATAACCTAAGTGGAACCTAAACAGCTGAAAAAGCAACTTACCAGATTCTCCTCTTCGGCCTCTCTTACCTCGTTTCCCTGGAGGGCCTGAAATACAAAAATTACATACATCTTTGAGTTTTGGTTCAGAAATGGCTAATAAATAATTTCTGTATATTTTATCACTGTTTTTAAGAATGCCAAGAAATAGACCAGATATTTATAGAGAAGAGCACTGTCATTGGTATTTCAACATAGCCCTTCAGCTTCATTTACCTATAAATGTTGCACTATTTCTTTCACCATCCAGTATTGCTTAGAAACACCAAAGACATGGAGTTTTTGTTCATCCTGCCCAGATGTCATCAATAAAGAAAGACTTTTCTAAGCAACTTGGTGTTATTGAGTTTCATATTTCTTAGAAAAATTTATTTTCTGAGTGTGTTGGTATAAATAATAAAAAGTACTAAGTATAAATAAATAACTGGTTTCTCTTCAGTAAGTTCCATTATGATTCTCTTAAAAATATTTAGTTGGCAGTTAGTTAAATATAAATTAGTAATAAAAAGTATATATTAATAATAAAAATAACCTTACATATATTCCTATTTTATTACATGTGGACTTTCATATATTGGAATTTCTCTGATTGAGAACCTGCTGAGTTGAAATCACAACCCTTTTAATTGCAAAGTGTTTGGTTAGTAACTATAGGTCTCAATTAACTAAGGGCTAGCTCCTATTGTCATCCAATAAGTACTTAGTCTTTATGATATCACCATTTTAAAAGTGGAGAAAAAACTTTTCTTTTTCAGTGAGTTGCCTATGAAGACCACCAAGCTAGTATGTATCAGACTTAGCACAAGATTCTAGACATCCATGGCTTTCAAACCATTATTCTCAATTATATAATTTCTCCCCTCATTTCCTTGTGTAGGAATAGCTCCCATTAAATTATGGTTCCAGCAAATAGAAGAGAATAATTAGCCCACAATGAGAATTGAGGTCTTGTAATATTTGCTGGAAGAAAGAGGCCAAGGAAAATACAGAACTTCCTGGTTTTAAAGAATGAGCTGCTAAGTTGGACTGATGACTTCCAAATTCCACAAAGTTCAAGACACAAGCAGCACAGGCCTCAGCATCCAGCTGACTCTGACTGTGATCCTGAGCTACCGACTTCCACATGGAAACACTATCATGAGAAATAAAAACATTGGTGGGCCAGTTGGTTTCCTCTCAAGCCTGTACACAGATTAAGGCCAGCCATCTGGGTTTTGTAAGAGGTTAAAAACAATCAAACAATAAAATCAATTGAAACTATTAGGAGAAACAGCTTCATAGCAGAGCCCCAAATTTCCATTAGAAATTTCAGATTTTTTTCTATATTCTGAAATAAAAAGATGTTTTAATCATATTTGGGGTATTTCAGGCCAGATTGAGAGCACGAGTAACATATAAACAAGTAAATAAACCCAGTGGGACCCTAGTAGGTATGGAAAAATACACATTTATACACACATTCAAATTTAGATATAAGAGATATACAGGGGTGGGCAAAAGTAGGTTTATAAGCAGTTGTTTATATGGAAAAAGACATGCAGTCTAAATTATAATATTATGATAGCTTTATTAACTGTGTTTCACATACTCACAACTGTAAACCTACTTTTGCTCACTCCTGTATTGACATATTCTGATATGTAAAATATCCTACAATTAAAATTCAGATTTTTTTCTATTACAAAATAAATTTAAATAATAAATTTTTAGAAACTATGATATACTTATGATGTCTGTGATTTGCATACTAGGGCTTATTGTTGATGAATAAGTGTGTATCTTCCCGGAAGAGGCATAAAAAGTTGAAAAGATTAAAATATAAACATGAAAAAGTCATTAATAGCATGTGGTAAAGATGGCACAATGAGTTTATACTCTAATTTGTTTCTTCTACTCCATATACTGATTTGTTTCTTCTACTCCATATACATGGTCAATTATAGAAAGAAAAAACATTTTAGAAGTATTTATATTCATAAAGAAATGGACATTCCTACAGGCAAGAAAGTGACCAGAAATGCAAAGTGGAGAATAGAGATAAAACCATGAGCCAGCTGGGTTCCAGTTCTGCAAGTAGGATTGGGGCCATGACTCAAAGTTCTCCAACCCAAGCCAGGTTCATTTCTTAAAAGCCAGAGGCAAGCTGAAGAGATGCTGAAAAAAACCTAGGTGTCCGACTTAAAGGTTTGGGAATATAAGCATAATCTCTCAATCAGGAAAGGTGATTAAAAAATTGATTTCAGAGAAGAAGGAAGAGGGAAAGAGAGATAGAGAGAATCCTTGATCGGCTGCCTCCTACATGCCCCATGCTGAGGATCAAGCTCGCAACCAGGGCATGTGCCCTGACAGGGAATCGAACCGTGACCTCCTGGTTTACAGATTTACACACAATCAGTGAGCCACTCTGCTGATTTGATGTCTAATTCTATGATATCCCCAACATAAATCTGGGACAGGAGTCTTAACATGACATTTTAAGATAAGTCTGATCTAGAAGGGTGAGAAGTCAAGTAAAGACAAACATAACATTTTTAGATTAAGAAAAGGTAAACACAGGGAAAAGAAAGGCAGACACAGAGAAAACTACACATACATACATACATACATACAAACACACACACACACAAAATAATAATAATAATAAAATACTTTTTCTTTTCATAATGAATATAGAAACCCAAATTCCAAAAATGTATAAAGAAACCTAATGCTAAGAAAGATAGCACTCAATAATAAGATCATGAATTCCTTAATTATTTTAAGAAAACGTCAGAGTTTAAAGGTTGGTCTGTTGAGTTTTAAGAGCTAAATGAAAGGTAACATCCATTAAAGGACAGAATTTTAAATATAAACAAGGGGGGCAGAGAACAAGGATATTTGAAAAAGAACCTTTTAGAAATCTTGAAAATGTAAAAAACAGTCATCAAAAAATTTTTTTAAAGATAAAACAAGTGCTAGCTTGGATATGGTTGAACAAAGAACTGATGTGAAAAATGCAGAATTCTGTGCACCTCCAAAATTCTCATGTTGACGTTCTACCCACCAGTGTGGCTGGTGTGGGTCAGTGGTTGAGCGTAGACCCATGAACCAGGAGGTCATGGTTTGATTTCTGGTCAGGGCACATGCAGGGTTATGGGCTTCCAGTAGCAGGTGTGCAGGAGGCAGCTGATCAATGAGTCTCTCTTATCATTCCTGTTTCTCTTCCCCTCTCTCTGAAGTCAGTACAGATATATATATATATTTTAAAATTCTATCATCCAAAGATGATGGCATTAGGAGGTGGGACTTTCAGGAAATACTTAAGTCGTGAGGCTGGAGCTCTTATAATAGGATTAGTGCCTTCAAAGAGACCTTCCTTCCCCATTGAGAGTCTCAGTCCCTTTCACTATGTGAAGACACAGCAAGAAGGTACCAGTTATGAGCCAGGAAAAGGGCACTCAGCAAAAGGCAACGATGATGGTTCCTTAATCTTCCTGCCACAACTGACAGGCTGTGCCATATCTGAATTTCCATCAGCCTACCTCAGACTTTTTACCCCACCCTATGATTCCCTGAAACCCCCACTCTTTCTTATTTGCAGGCTCATGCAAACCTTTGCCATACAACTGGCCTCTCTTGCCTCCTGCTTTGGACTTTCCTAAAAACTCTCAAACAAGCAGTAGTTGGCATCAGTGTGCCTCATATCTCTCAATAAGTGACCCCAGCCTCATCATGGTTCACAGCGTGGCCTCTCCTGAGCACCTTCAAGCTCAACACAAGTAGCAGCCATCTGCACCCACTATTGCTTTTTAGGTCATGCTGGGTGGCCCTGGGCAGAGGACAGGCAGAAACTGACTTTGCACCTTCATGGAGGCCCCAGAACCAGTGCACCTGGTGGTCAACTTCAACTACACCAAATTACAAGCCCACCACCTCCGAGAGTGATACATTCAAGGGGAGGACTTGGTGAGCACCAAAGCCGCCTGAAGCACGTCCTGCTACATAGGAGTGTATCTGGTACCTCCGCTCTTCAGATATAGACGCAGCTGATCCTCACAACAGATTGGCCTGGGGATCATTCCCTCTCAGTGATACCAACATAAATCAAGGCTCAATTATAATAGGACTGTGCACATAGCTTACAAGGGGGTGCACTTGGAATGCACAGTTCAGGTGACTGGGCAGGCTGAGCCACTAAGCCCTCTAGGACACCTACTATACAAGGTGGCTCTACCAAGTCTGGGAGGCATAGAAAATCTACCTAATACATGGAAGCAAACACAGGGAAGCAGCCAAAATGTGGAGACAAAGAAACATGTCACAAATGAAAGAATAGGAGAAATCTCCAGGAAAAAAAGATCTAAATGAAATGGAAGCAAGAAAGCTACCAGATACAGAGTTCAAAACATGAAGCATACACTAACTGAAATAAAGAATACAGGGGTTCCACAATTGAGTAGAGGATGCCAAGAATCAAATTAAGAATTTGGAATATAAAAAAGCAAAAAACACCCAATCTGAATAGCAAAAAAAAAACAAAAACGAATCCACAAATATGAAGATAGTGTGAGGAGCCTCTGGGACAATTTCAAGTGTACCAACATTCACATCACGAGGTGCTTGAAGAATAGAGAGCATCAGAAATTAAAAACCTATTATAGAAAAAATAATGACAGAAAACTCCCCCCACCTGGTGAAAGAATAAACTTACAAGTTGAGGAGGCACAGAGTCCCAAACAAGATGAACCCAAGAGGCCCGCACAAAGGCACATCATAATTAAAATGTCAAGGACAAAAGACAGAGAGAGAATCTTAAAAGCAGCATCAGAAAAGCAGTTAGTTACTACTTATAAGAGAACACCCATACAACTGTCAGCTAATTTATCAACAGAAACTTTGCATGCCAGAAAAGAGTGGCAAGAAATATTCCAAGTGATGAAAAGCAAGGACCTATAACTAAGATTACTCTACCCAGCAAAGTAATCATTTAGAATTGAAGGTCAGATAAAGAGCTTCCCAGACAAGAAAAAGCTAAAAAAGTTCATCACCACCAAATCAGTATTACATAA